TTAAAGGTGATGTTGGGAAATTCTGTAACCTATTACACACTATGCCACTCCCACAATTGCTTTATACCTGAGGATTTAATATCACTTGGTCCTGTATCCGAAGAAGTGGGATTATAACCATTAATGCTTAGTGAAAATACAAACTAGTTAATCTTCACCCTTTCTATACTGCAAAGGACTAGCATGGCTAATTATTTCAAAGTGATACTTCTGTACAATGGAAGTGTCCACAAGATGACAAAGAATTGGTTGAATCTTGCATTCTCAATCTAATTTGTCTTCTCACAAATATATGAGGGTGGCTGAAGTCTCCCCTTACTGCTATATATTTCCCTTTGAATATTTGGTCCTTTGTTTTAGAGAGTCATCATAATATGTGATGATGATAGTCATAATCTTTATCTTCAGTCAGGATTAGGGACCTAAAATAACTCCTCACAGTGATGTCACTGTTTCTGTTGCCTTTAAGAGCTCTCATTCTGTTTTCCTGCATTCTCAAACTGCAGCACTCCAGCTGTTTTGGCCTCCAACTCCCAGAATTCCAGAGCAGTGAACAATCTGGTTAGGGTTTCTGGGAGTTGGAGGCCTAAACAGCTGTAGGGCCTCAGTTTGAGGATGCCTGGTCTAAAGTCATAAGATTCTGCACAGGTGTACACACCCTTGACACAGAATACTATTAAATAATAGTTGCCTTCCTGTCTTAAGAGTTCAAGGTCATCTAGTTTATTCCACCTGCTCTGTGCATTAGTACAGGATACATGTGAGACTATGAGCTGTTCTGTCCAGATTATTTTTTTAGCTTTTTCTGCCTACCTATGGCTTCTTGTACTATTTGCCCCATTAACCCTTATCATTGAGGATATTGTCTCCAATAGTTGGTGTTCCCCAGTCCACTGGAATACTTTTCTCCGTCTAACTCAATTTAAAAGTCATGGTCCATGAAGACAAATCTTTCCTTACAGCACTATCTGTAGAACCAGTGAAAAGCAAAACATGCAGCTTCTATAGGAGAAAAGAGCCTGACATTAAGCCAGTCATGCTAATACTAATGTTTCAAGTCTGTATTTGGGAAAGCAGACTTCGCTATATGGGCTTGAAATATGGGGCCTTTATATTATTGTGTCTGATATTATTAAGGATGGAAACATATACATGCTTACCTGAGAATAGGCCTATTGAGCACAGTTTGATTTATCCCTGTGTAAAAATCCATACAATTTCACTGCAAATAAAGTTGATTGTGGTGCTATTGCCATCTAAGGCTTCTTCCACACAGCTGTATAAAATCCACATTGAACAGGAATATATGGCAGTGTGAACTCAGATAACCCAATTCAAAACAGATATTGTGGATTATCTGCCTTTATATTCTTGGGGCCCTTCCATACAGCCCTATATATGGCAGTGTGGACTCAGATAACCCAGTTCAAAGCATATATTGTGGGATTTTCTTCCTTGATATTCTGGAATATAGGGCTGTATGGAAGGGCCCTTTCAGTCAGTCCTTCACATTTGCTTGAGTTAGGAGCACAGGACCTTGGTGAAAGTGAAAAACTATGAATAAATTGTTATCATTTTATCTGAGAGAACACCTCTTTGAAAATGTCTAGGTTATTTATTTTGTGTCAAAAGCATTGCATAATTAGTATAAAACTGATAAAATAAAGGGATCACATGCAGCTTGTTTTAAACCAAAAACGGGCAATAGCGACTGCATTGTCGGTAGCTCTAAACCGTTCTTCCTCTGTTCATGAGGCAGGACATTGTGGGCAGGCATACAGATGCAGAGTTGTTTGTTCTGCTCTACCGTCGCACATGGTGGAGAAGTCTTCTAAGTAGTGCCATTTTGCCAGGTTGTCTGAGTCTGTTCAGGGACTTCCAAGTTGCCCATTCTTGGTTTACCTATGGAGGAAGACCCTCATGGAGGGCCATACAGTTGGGATTCCCTGGTTTAGCTGCCCAGAGGGATACTCTTGCTGTTGCTGGGGAAACATTAAGAGGAGTGATGGTTCTCATGAAACTTTTCCTTGATTTAAGTCTACTGGGAGGAGGCTGATAGCCATGCAGTGGATGGCTTTCACAGTGTTCAACCTTATTTCCCTCACATTTAGCAGCAACTTCCCGTCACACACCAGCGGGGGCAATGCCAACTAGCTTGTAGAGCCTATCAACAGGTGTAGGTTTGAGACATCCTGATTAATACTGCATGTTTTGTTCATTGCTATATTCACCTGCTTCACATGGGCTGACTTGTGCCAAACAGGACAGGCATGCTCAGTAACTGAATAAGACAAGGCAGAATTGATGTTCTTATTAATTTTGGGTCTGCACCCTATGTACTACCAGTAAGGATGTTATTGTGTGCAGCTACATTGTGCTTGGTGTTCATACAGTGTTTCCTAAAGTTAGTGTTCGATCTAGGATAATTTCTAGGTCTTCTAGCATGACTCTATGATCAATGTTTGATGGAGGCTGCCCACAGAATCACATTGGAGGACCTCTAGATTCCATTAATCAAATTTATGAATAATCAAATCCACAAAAGTCAAAACCACAAATGTGAAGGAACAACTACAAGATGTTTTGCGTCTACCTAAATGGTGTCTTGAGATAGTTTTAAACAGCTGATTTCAAAGTAAATATAAGTGAATTTAATGTTTGTGTATATTTATAGTTTTATGTCCGGCACTGAATGTCTGCCATATATATGTTGTGCTCTGCCCTGAGTCCCCTGCGGGGTGAGAAGGACAAAATATAAATGTTTAAAACAAACAAATAAATAAATAGTAAGCCTATGGTTCTCATACTAGTACATTCAATAGGAGCTGTGATTGACTTTATCATCACATTCACAGGAAGCAAAACAATATATACCCATAGCACTACGTTAGCTTTTGGCCAGCCAATTTTTCCCATAACGATTCCATTGATAATTCTGTTTCCTTATTATATCTTGCCCTCAGTGTCATATGTAAGGTACCTAAGTATATTCCATTGTATCTCCCTGGCCCACTGTGCTACTAGGGATGCACATCTATGAATCTTCAGCTTTGTTTTCATCCCATTGCCATCAGTGTAACCATGATGTACTGTGTCTTTCTTGTGTGTAGTACCATAATCCTGCTTTGTCTGTTTGACGGTTAATCAAGGTTTCCTCTTCCTAATTAAAAAAATGCATAGCAGAGGCTTTGGGTTCTTCTCTTTAAGGACATCTCAGACATTTGCACCCAAAGCATGAATAGCTAGGTTTTTTTGTGTGTCAGGAGCAACTTGAGAAACTGAAAGTCGCCTCTGGTGTGAGAGAATTGGCCATCTGCAAGGACATTGCCCAGGGACTGCCCAGATGTTTTGATGTTTTCCCATCCTTGTGGGAGGCTTTTCTCATGTTCCCACATGGGGAGCTGGAGCTGACAGAGGGAGCTCATCCACTCTCTCCCAGGATTTGAACCTCCAACCTGTCAGTCTTCAGTCCTGCTGGCACAAGGGTTTAACCCATTGCGCCACCGGGGGCTCCTATAGCGAGTTGTTCAGACATGAGAAAGAAAGCAAATAGTAAGAAATCGCTTTCTTTCCGCTTTCTGTTTCTTTCTATTCTCTGTACCACCTGAAGCTGGTTTGGAACTCACTGAAAAATCTGTTGTTGGTTTGTTTGTTGACAAGATGGAGCCCTTGTTTGAATCTAAGCAAGCTCAGAATATCCACAACACATTGTTTCTTTTGACGGCAGCTCCACATGAACATGTGTGTGAAAAATACACCCTCCATCCTGAAACTTTCACTTTAGAGGATCCTGCCATGTCTGCAATAACACACTCAGTTCAGTTCTTAGCTACCACAGCATAAAGAAATTTGAGGGGAGATGCAACTAGATGAACGAGAAAGAGAGAGAGATAACCCACTTGCATTGGCAATGAATTGGTTTTTCAAATGTATTTAGCATAACCAGGATAAGCAATGCTTCAAACCATGTATTTTTTTTAAAGCTTGCTCTCAAAGGCAGCCCTAGAAGTATCATACAGTATACATTTAGATCAGGTGCTTCGGTGGTAGAACTTGCATATTCCAGGCCTTTTTCATATAGCTAAAAATTAAGAAAACTACAAATGTACAAGAAAAATCAAAACAGCCACATTCTTTAAAGTGTCTCTGTGGAAAATAATAAAATTCGGTTTCGACTTGACATGATTCATTCCTTCACCTCTCAATCAATTATGCTGTATCTAATCATAGGATAGCGTTCTCAGAAATAATTTAGTGCAGTGATAAAACAGAAACAAAAAAAGTAAAAGGCACAAGCAGGTCTTTTCTTTCGCTTTTCCCCTAACACTTTATAATATTATTCTGTGTTATGCAGTTTAATGAAATCACCAAAAACAGCTAGAAAATATTATACCAATTTCTGTACACTATACACCTCTGTCCTACATCTTCCCACAATACACTTTTGAGCTTCAGGAGAAATGTACAGCATAGAAATTCTTTTAAAAAATACATTCCACATCCACACACTCAGTCCCAAAAGGTACATTCTGTAAATCAAATCTGTATTACTGATCAATTTATTATTATTGCTGGGAAACAGTTTGATACTGCCACTTGAAGATATGGCACTGTCTGAGACAGGAAAAATACCAGCACAGAAAGCAATAACTAGTGAAAGAGAGAGAGAGAGAGAGAGAAAACGTTTTGACTTTTGTGATGTGTTATTATCACTCCATTTGGTCGTGACCTTATTACTTGCGTGGAGGCTGGAATTCTTTCCCTGTGCTACAAATAGGCCTTTCAGAGGATCTTCCTTATATAAAAGAAGCCCTTTTCTATGATGTGTATAAGGGAGAAGCTGGCTCTTGGTGGGTCCATGGATCAGGGGCTACTTCACCAAGATGGTTTAGATGAGGAATACTGTGGGCCTAACCAAGCTCTCCTTGGTCCTGGCCTTGGTTTTTACACATTTTTTGAAAGCAGAAGATTGTGGACTGCCTCCAGTTTCCATGTCTATTCTTGTTCTTATGCTGCTTGAATTGGAAAATGATCAACGCAAAGGATATGGTTGGAATGCCTTCAAAGGCTAGAATTCTGCATGAAAGTTACATCTTTGTAAGTCAACTTACATATGTAAGAATTGCATTTGGGATGCTTGCTTATATTTATATCCAGTAGAGCACTACTAATACATTACTGTGGAGTAGAGCTGGCAAAGTGACCGTTGCACCGTGAGATCAATGCACAAGGGAACTGATGTCTGTTGAGGACCAATGCACATCAGTCCTGATGGACAACAGGCAACTATACGAACCAATCTTGTCTTTGTTCTGATATGTATCTCTGTGATTCAATAGCAAGGTTTTGGTACTGCCTCTACTACTTAGTTGGATTCTATGATGCCTGCTGAGGACCAACTCACATCAGTCGTGATGCGCATCAGGCACCAATATGAACCAGACAATCGTGCCTTTGTTCTGATATGTATCTCTGTGATTCAATAGCAAGGTTTAGGTACTCCCTCTGCTACTTAGCTGGATTTTATGATGCCTGTTGAGGACCAACTCACATCAGTCATGATGCGCATCAGGCACCAATATGAACCAAATAATCTTACCTTTCTTCTGATATGTATCTCTGTGATTCAATAGCAAAGTTTGCGTACTGCCTCTGCTACTCAGCTGGATTCTATGATGCCTGTTGAGGACCAACGCACATCAGTCGTGATGCGCATCAGGCACCAATATGAACCAGACAATCATGCCTTTGTTCTGATATGTATCTGTGATTCAATAGCAAGATTTAGGTACTCCCTCTACTACTTAGCTGGATTCTATGAAGCCTGTTGAGGACCAACTCACATCAGTCCTGATGCACATCAAGGACCGATACGAACCAGACAACCTTGCTTTTGTTCTGATATGTATCTCTGTGATTCAATAGCAAGGTTTAAGTACTGCCTCCACTACTTATCTGGATTCTATGATACCTGTTGAGGACCAACGCACATAAGTCCTGATGCGCATCAGGCACCGATACAAACCACACCATTTTACCCTTGTTCTGATATGCATCTTTGTCATTCAGTAACAAGATGTATGTGCTGCTTCTGCTACTTAGCTGAGTATATGCAAAGTTACATTGAGTAAAAGGTGATATAGGATACCAGCAGTTCATAAGTACTGCTGCTGTTCATACGAAACCAATGGGTCATTCCCTCACGTACTGGAGTTGGTCTGCTACCTCATATCTAGGCCCTGCCACACTGCAGAAAATGTGCAGGTAATGGGAATGTAAATATCCAGTTCTCTAGGCCAAAACATTGTCTTTTTGGTAAGGGGTGGCCACTTGCCCACCAATGCTGATTCGCAGTCAGCATGGGAGAAGTATGTCAACCAGAGGGAGCCAGCCCCCTGCCCTCCCTCACCCCTTTCCTGCCTTTAAAAATTAAAAAGTGGGCTCCTTAATGAGCCTGGAGTGTTCCCTTTGCTCCGTAGCACCTCGAAAGCTCCACTATGTTATTTAGAGGTGCAACAGAGCAAAGGGAACACTCCAGGCTTGGTGAGGAGACTATTTTTAATGTTTTAAAGACAGAAAGGGAGACAAGGGACAGGAGGTTGGCAGTATCATCCCTTCTCTGTGGGCTGTTGAGCCAGTAAAGGAAGGATTGCTTACAAAAAGATCCAGATCTCTGGAGGTTTTTTAAAAACCTGGAACAAACCTAGATTTCCAGGTTTACTTCAGGTTAAACAGCATTATCACGAGGCGTCGTTTGGACTCCTCATGAAAATGCAGCCCCAACACCACATCATAGTGCAATATTGATGGGGCCTCTGACTCTTGACCTTGTTTCATGTCAATCATACATGTCAAATATGTGACAAAATGTGAAATGGGATTTCCTTTCATGGGGATATTTGTTTTATCCATCCAAAACTAAGTGCCACCAGAAACGTCCTTTGCATTTCTGACATATCACATTAATATTTTAAACTTCATGAATTACATCAAGATATACCTCATGCAGAGTTGCTATTCCTTGAAATTAGTTATAGAATTAGTAAGGTATTTCAAGCTAGAAGAAGCTGTCACCTTAATTATTTTTGTGGCAGGTGCTGTACAGACACATGCCAAATCTGTGTTGCATTGCTGTTTGCATTGTACGATACAACTCACAAATCTGGCATACTTAAAGCAGCAGTTACTGTTTATGGCAAGCTGTCTATATGTATCCACTAGCAAGGGATTAAAGGAGTACCTTTGCTTTCCCTGGTACCTTTAGCCAAACTTACAACCTCGGTTATCTGTCTTTTGCATATTGCTTTTTTGAAGCATTTCGATTTGGTGCACAAATTAGCATAAAGGTATGTTGCCATAGAAACAGATGCCTCCATTTTGCCTCTGTGAAACCAGTCAGCAAAAAGTCGAGCTCGAATTAAGAAATTAATTACAGTAAACAAACTTATATACGAACATATAAAAAAAACAAATCAGGAGGAATCCTACTGCAAATGGAGATGTGTGGCACAGGAATACAGGTTATAAATATACATCAGCGCAGATAATATCTCAGAAATGTACATATGTTACACTGGGCTCAGGGTTCACATATGCTGGCTTGAGAAGAAAATGAGGCTAAAGGAACAAGTCATAGTTATCAGATGCACCATGATTCTTTAAGACTGTTGGCAGAACGAGGTACATCCCAAAAGTGCAATATTGGAGCCTACTTGGCAGTGCCATGTGTTTGAATGCATGCAAACACTTCCTCTTCATGCATTATAGCAAGCAGGTTTTTCACATTGTTTTCAGTTATTTTAAACCAATATGTCATAAATGCATACTTGTCCATGAACTACTGACAAATGCATTCCAGTCAAACGTCTGCATTTAGCTGTATCATGAAAGATCACTCCTTTTTAAAAAGTATTTCGGGGACGGGGGAAAACTATTTACACCAGACAAGCAGTATTGTTATGGAGTTAAAGTTTCTGTGCTTAGTAGGTAACCTGGGTAAGAGTGGGGAGGGAGAGAAGTTGGAGTCCGTCATGACCTCCTTGGCCACTGAACAAATGTATGCATCAAGGACAGCCAGCCCAGCAGTACCTCCAGCATTAGCACCGTCATTCTACAAGCATGTCAGAAAGGAAGGACCCTTTTGTTTGTACAAGCAACCTGTACAAAGCAAATGAACAAGGATGTCTATGAAATTCAAATGAAAGAATCGGCAAAGAAACAATGACCAAAAACTCCCACAAAACACTGGCAAAGGAGATTTTGGGGAGGAACAAACTTAACGTGGGGCTTTTAAAATTATTATTATTCTTCACGCAGCTGCAGGCAATAGCGGTGGTAGCGAAGCTGGAAAAACATTTGCTCTAGAAAAGAATGTGTCATCCCAGGCAGAGAGTAGTGTTCAACAACACCCACATGCTTGAATCCTAAAGACTCATACAATTTGTGGGCTGCCACCTTCACAGCTGTAGTTCCTAAGACAACAGATGAATAGTTATTGACCATTGCAAACTCCAACACTTTGCGACCAAGCGCTTTGGCAATTCCTTTCCCACGGTATTTGGAGTCAACAGACATGCGGCGCAGCTCCACAGTGTTATCGTCCTCGTTGCCTCTCGCCGCTACAATGCCCACCACGTTGCCATTTAACACTGCAACCCAGAAACAGGAACCTGCGGGTGCAAAGCAATAGGAGAAACATGTTAATATATATCTAGGGTTATTTAATGCTCCTCTTATTTTCAGAAGTTCTTGTCAATGAAATACGGAGGTAAGAGCAAGAATGTTTATGCAAATCAATACAATTCTCTCTTGAAACCAAGGGACCTTCCTAGCACTCACATTCAAAATAGCCTTTCGCTCCCACCACTGTCACAAGTACGGTTGGTGGGGACGAAAGAGAGGACCTTCTCGGTGGTGGCCCCCTGCCTCTGAAACACCCTTCCAAGGGAAATAAGACAGGCTCCATCCCTCCCCTCCTTTCGTAAGAGCTTGAAGACCTGGTGGTTTCAACAAGCCTTTGAGAATGACCAGTTCTAGCTCAGCCCCAAACATTGTTGAATATGGCCTTATACTTCCTACCTATTACCCTCATTTCCAGGGCCCTCTAATAGGCCCTGGAAATGAGCAGCCACAGACCCATACCTGCTATTGTTGTTAGCCTGTTATAGCACTGTACTTAATTCCCGGTCCCCTCATATTTTGAGTCTGCACTAGCCTCGGCCCTGTCTTTTAATTGCTCTGAACAGGCAGGATTATTTTTAATATATATGTATTATTGTGATAACTTAATCCTTATGTTGTTTTGTTAATTTTATGTTATGCTGTTTACTCTGTACGTTTTGGTAATGTTACCAGGAATCCACCCTGAGTCTCCCTCGGGGAGATAGAGCAGTATATAAATAAATAAATAATAATAATAATAATTATTATTATTATTATTATTTATTAAATACACTACAATATTATTCTCTCTTCTCTTCAACACAGTTTCTTTATTTATTATTTATTTAAAACATTTATATTCTGCCCTTCTCACCCTGCAGGGGACTCAGGGTGGAGCACAACATATATACGGCAAACATTCAATGCCAGGACATAAAACCATAAATATATACAAAACATTAAAATCACTTATATTCACATTAAAAGTTGCTTAAAAACCATTTCATGACACCATTTTGCCTCATTGCACTGTTTGTTTGTGTGTGTGCGTGTGTGTGTGTATGTCAGGAGTGACTTGAGAAACTGCAAGTCGCTTCTGGTGTGAAAGAATTGGCCGTCTGCAAGGATGTTGTCCAGGGGATGCCTGGATGTTTTTGAAGTTTTACCATCCTTGTGGGCGGCTTCTCTCATTAACACAGGTTACAAATAGATAATATCATAAGGAACTAAGCTTGCCAACTCTGGGAGCACCCCAGATCTCTGGACAAAAAGCTGAGGCTTGGGGACTCCACCTGTTGGTGTCATTATGCATAATATGTTAAACATCAGTCACAGTTTCTAAGACTATGTACTCATACAGTTAACACTAAATCTAACAAATGTGAAAACATATCTCTGTTTGTAAATTAGGATTAACAAGCTCTGCAGTGAACAGGAAAAAACAGAATATTATCAGCTCTGCTTTATCACTTTTGCAAACAGTGCTTTTGAGAAAACATGGGAGCTGTAGACCAACCAAAGGTTCCAATTTGGTTGCTTTCACCCTGGACATTCCACAGATATATAAACCTCACTGGTCTAGTTTCCAACAGACCTCACAACCTCTGAGAATGCCTACCATAGATGTGGGTGAAACATCAGGAGAGAGTGCTTCTGGAACATGGCCATGCAGCCTGGAAAACTCACAGCAACCCAGTTATTCTGGCCATGAAAGCCTTCGACAACACATTGATCAATTTACAGTAGCGGCTCCCAAAAGAAGTCTGCATCAGTGCAGAGCCAAGACCCAAAATGCCATCTAGCCACCCCTCCCAGGAAAGCCCAGGGTTTGGATTGGGGGTGGGGACTAGAATCCCAGAGGAAGTGGATTGTGTAGCATAGTGTAAAAGGACTTTTTGGGTCGTTGTAGGTTTTTGGGGCTGTATGGCCATGTTCTAGAAGCATTCTTTCCTGACGTTTTGCCTGCATCTATGGCAGGCATCCTCAGAGGTTGTGAGAGGATGCCTGCCATACATGCAGGTGAAACATCAGGAAATAATGCTTGTAGAACATGGCCATACAGTCCAAAAAGCCTACAACAACCCAATGATTCCTTCGACAATGCAAAGGGCTCTTTGTCACAAGAAGAACATGTGACAAAATGTTACAGTATGGAATGCCCCTGTTCAGGATTCCAGAAGTCGTTTTTCCTTTTGATTTTCCACCTTCACCCAAAAGTCAGTCAGTATACCATGGTCACTTTATTAGATTGCTTCTCTAAACTCTTCCTTCAGTCCCCCGCTCCCCCCTAAATAGTCTTTTATATCCTCTGAGTAATCTGGTGACACTAGCCTTAAAGACTACCCTGCTAATTATATTGCAAACAAGTATCTTCTTACTGCACAGGTCATTACAAAATTATCTGAAGAATTACAAATGGTTTTCAACAGGGTGGGCGCTATTAGACAAGTTTTTACTAAGTCCTTAGAAATTATATTCTGAGCTAGAGCAAATTATAGGATGCTCCTCCAAGCAATTATATTCTGAAAACTGATTTGAAGCTTCCTACATTGAAAACAGTGCCATGGGAGCCAGCATGAGTATTGACTTACAACTCTGGAGACTAAGGTTCAAATCCCCTCTCAGCCATGGAAACCACTGGGTAATCTTGAACAAGTCACATTCTCACAGCCTTAGAGCAAGGAACAAATCTTGCCAAGAAAACCCCTTGATAGACTTATATACAGAGTGGTGTAGATGAAATGTCTTAAATGACTGAGTGGTCCTTTTGAACAAATATTGTCAAGGAAACCCCATAGTTAGATAACAACATATGGAAAACAGCTCAGACAGTAGGTTTAAATTGGTCTTTAACACAACATACAAAAAATAAAATGCTAAACAGGACGAGCCAGAATCAGGCTTTGCAAACATTACAGGTGATGCTCCAGTTGCTTCAAACCACAGCACTTCTGCAATATTTTTAAACCAATATATCATCTATAATCCACAAACTGGTTCCTCATTATAACTGGGGGGAAAGAAGGTACCCCTATCTTTGATCATGTGCATTTCAGGATTTGATCCTTTCTGGAAAGTTTTCACGTTACTGCCATTTGGTACTTTTCTGTCAAAGTTCCACCTTTTTGCCGAAACATGGAGCTCATGTACATAAGTATCAAAATCCAGTGTCATTCGGAGTTGGCATCTAGCTGTCTTCACCACTTTCCTCCATTCCTGGTGATTATGACAGGTAAAAATGGATTAATCTGGCTTTGCCTTCTTTCTGTAAAAATTGGAGGATGCTCTGGAGTTTGTTTGAAACTTCAGAGTATCCTGTGGTTTTGGAGCAGTGTGGACAGTTTGATTAGATCTGATTCAGACTAGTTTGTTGTCCACATGGGGTACTACTGCTTTTCAGCAGCACAGAAGAGTCCAGGGAAAGGAGGAAATGATGCTCATGTTGCCACTGTCACTGTTTCCAGCCAGCTGCAGAGCTTTATGTTAACTATATTGTCAAAGGCTTACATGGCCAGCATCACTGGGTTGTTGTAGGTTTTTCGGGCTGTATGGCCATATTCTAGAAACATTCTCTCCTGACATTTTGCCGGCATCTGTGGTAGGCATCCTCAGAGGTTGCGAGGTCTGAGGATGACTACTACAAATGCAGGTGAAACGTCAGGAGAGAATGCTTCTAGAACATGGCCATACAGCCCGAAAAACCTACAACAATCTCTATGTTAACTCCTTGCCTTGGTGGGTGTCCCACTCTGACATCTACAGAGATACCCATGTGACCAGGAAAAAGGTGGGGACATCAATCCCCTACTTTCTGGTGCATAAGTGCCTCTGTTGATGTCATAAGGAGATCCATGGTTGACTGGGAGTGACAATGGCAACATGGAAGGTGAGCTGATGATCCAAAGTTAGAACAAACTCATTATAGGCATCATGTTAGTGACTTACAAATAAACACATTCCCCTATAGAAGCAGTTGAACATTTTTGTCTAATGTGGACATCCATATTCAGTTGATGGTTGTGCAATACCATGTGTATTGTAGATACACTTATGCATTGCATCTGCAGGTATGTAGTGCACATTACAATTATGTCGTTCCCATTTGTTTGCCCATTAAGTTTTGCAATGATGCGTTTCATTAATGAATAATAATAAAGTAACTCCATAAGTAAAAAATTATACATTGTCTCCTTGATGTACCAACTCCAGCTATGTTTCTGAAATGAACATAAGCCTTGATTTTTTGCATGCCCTGAACAGAGAGAAACATTGTTTTCACAGTAACATTTCAGAAGCCTTAAAACCATTGTCAGTATTGAAGACAATGGTAAAGAATCCTTGCCTATAAAACTTCCAGGTAATGCCGTAAGTCAGAAACAACCTGAAGGCGCACACAACAACAATCTCTGCTTTCAGCAGCTACAATAACTTTTTCACCTACATAGGAGAGTTTTAAACTTGGGATATGGCCATGTCTTTTAACTGGATGGAGAGCTGAAATAGCAGCCTGTGCATCAAGGTCTTTCAGTGAGCTATATCCCTGGGGCAAAAATCCAGGACACAACAGGGAGGCTGACAAGGCTCATCAAGTCCACAGACCATTACTACTTCCTTCTGGTCCATGTGGGAAATAATGAGACTCCGAGCCTTCAGGATATCCTGAGGGATTATTAGGCTCTGGATGGGATGCTGAAAGACCTTGATGCACAGGCTGCTATTTCAGCTCTCCACCTAGTTGTAAGCCATGGCCCTGAAAGGAAGAAAATAGTGGAGGTGAACATCTGGCTTCACAGATGGTTCTGACTGGGAACATGTGGCTTACTGGTCCATGGCCTTCAATTTACTGTAAATAGACTTCTGGCAAGTGGTGGGTTGCATTTCACAACAGCTGGGAAAAAATGCTTTTTACTAAGAGTCATAGAAACCTGATCAGGACAGCTTTAAACTTGGTTTTGTGTTGGGAGGGAGACTGCTTTCTTGAGAGAAGGAATTCATCAAGTGCTGGAGA